TGAAACCGTTGTGCCCCACTGCCGCTCAGAGGGTAATAGAGATGAGAGGGTGGGGAACAGAGTGTGTGGCAGACTCCTCTCCAGATGGCCAAATCGTAGTTGGAGCATGGCCTGGGTGCTTTTCCCCGAGCATACGAGAAGGAGGTTTTCTGAAACTTCTACGTCTCCTTGATGCCTGTAGCCCCGTGTTGGCTGTTTCTCACCTAGCAGTGAGCTGCTGCATTGTGGCTAATGGATGACCTGTTGTTCTTACCCAGGAGAGCAGAACTGTGGGATGGTGTTCGCTCAGGCCCCTCCTCCCGGCCCCCCACCACGCCGCCCTCAGTAATATGAGGGGAGGTCTGCACAGTAAATGGTGGGCACGCAGGCGGTTGCATGGATCCTGCCCTCCTAATAGGAGAGAGGGAAAGATCACCATCTCCCTTCCTCGGAGGAACTTGTCTACACAGTAGATGTTTCCATGATGCTTCCAAAGATTGCCTAAAAATAGCCGGTTTCCTCCCCCGTAAATGTTGCCCATTCCCGGTTGCTGCTCAGGGATTCCTGGGGAACCAGTATACAGAAGTGACGTGAAAACATTCCATCCTGGAATTTGCAGTAGCTCAAATTAACTTTCTAGCTATTAAAAAAAAAAAAAAAAGGCTATGGCCCTCACTTGGAAGCATCGCTGGGTGATTTTAAGTAGTTCCAGAGGGGGTGTGTGGTTTGCGGGTCAGCGCTGTCCGGAGCCAGGCCCAGTTCCATGGGAATTGGGATTGGTTGGCTCTGGGGAGGAGAGACCTGTGGCCAGATTCCAACCCACCGACAATGTAAGCAGATTCTAGGAGGTCCAGCAGGCATGGAGGGTGTTGGCTTATTTTATTCCAGAAAGAGGCTCTCAAGGAGGTGGAATCCTGCCAGAGAGGCTTCCAGCTGACCTGGCCGTTTCTCCTGTTACATTTCTGTTCCCTGTTTATACTCGACATAAACATCACAGAGCACACTCACATTTGAAAACCCCGTAGTCAGCTTTGATGGTCAGACATCGACGTTGTGATGCTCTGTAGCATTTCATTTTCAAGGCACTGGGAGTCTCCTGTTTCATGTGGGTGGGAAAGGGGGAGACCTTTTTGGGCAAGCTGCCATCTTTTTATTGTTCCAAGAGTTCGGTAAAGCATTTGAACCTTCACCTGTCAAAATCACTTTTGGAGCGAGGACTGTTCTTTCTCCAGCTTCTTAGAATAGCAGAACAAAAGTATCGTTTATCCCAATGAGACCTTAATGGGGGCTTTCCCGTTTGGACACCCACCTTGAATTCATTGGAAACAGAAGTTTTGGGCATTGTGTTTTTCATACATTTGGCTCAGATTTTTACTGGGTCATATTTCCCCCCCAAATCTTTTTCAAAAAAGACTCCTTTCTCATTCCTTTAGACCAACATGTGTAAGCTGGGTAAAAATAGAGCAAACTGGTTTCATGTTTTGATTTATGGATCAGATCTGCAAGTTTGCATTTGAAAAGCATTTAACACATAAATCAGGAAAGTTGAACTTTGCAGTCTGGTGCTTGTGGCTGGATGAGACGTTGTGTCCCGTTCAGATCCTGCCTGGTGCAAGACCAGACCCTCCGTGGTCCACCACTGGTACCCTGACTAATGATAAGCGTACACATACTTTCCGTCCTTCCTGCCCCCTCCTCCCGCCCTTCTGAGGACTTGTTCTTCTCCCTGTGGTTTGAATAAAGGAAATTGGCATGGAAAATTGTTTGACCTGGAATTTCTTACGATTGGTAGATAGTAACTCAGTAATTAGTAGCACTTCAAAGACAACCTTATAACAGGACATCTAATCACAAAAATTCCGTCACGGTCAAGGGCTGTCACCTAGAGAAACATACATACGGTCTGATGGGATGAATTCCTCGGATGTCCCAAGTTCTGTGCATGGTCAAGTGTTTTGTGCAGCTGATTGCTGCTTCATTGACCACAGGACCTCAGAAACAGAGGTGGCTTCATGGTACTACAATACAGAACCCTGCCCTGAGAAGGCTTCTGTGCTTGGTTTAATGCTCTGCTGCTGCTGTCCTGAAATCCGTAGTACTTTTTGGACAAGGAGTCTTGTATTTTCATTTGTTGCTGGGCCCCGTGAGTTACATGGACTGTCCTGCTTCAAAGTTATTCTTTATACAATTCATTACATAGAAAATCTTTGGGCACCTTAACTTTGAGGATTGCTCAAATCTAGAGTGTCTTAGCAGCCAGTTCATGATAATCTTTACTCTGCATAGTTTTACATGATCAAGCTTTATTATGACTAAATCTGCAATCATAAAGGTACCTTTGGTTTTTGTGGGTTTGGGTGTGCCCTGTTAAGAAGATCTTTTCTTTTTTTTTTTTTAAAAGATTTTATTTATTTGCGAGAGAGAGAATGAGAGACAGAGAGCATGAGAGGGAGGAGGGTCAGAGGGAGAAGCAGACTCCCGGCTTAGCAGGAAGCTGATGTGGGACTCAATCCCGGGACTCCAGGATCATGACCTGAGCCGAAGGCGGTCACTTAGCCAACTGAGCCACCCAGGCGCCCAAGAAGATCTTTTCTTATAAGAGGACTAACAATAAACAGGTTAATTAAAAAAAAAAAAAGAAAGAAAAGCCTCCACCCTTTCGGTTTTAAGTGGCATTCCATTTATTGCTTATTAGCATGTGTGTATATTTCTCATGTGGTTGTAGTTGGGTTTCATTAAGTGCAATCCTGCATGTGTTTAACTGACATTCAGGTGGTTTGTGGTGGATGGGTGGGTGGGACACGGTAAAGGGAGCTCCAAGATGGCAGAGGCTCAGTTACTCCCTAGCAGGTGCTCGTAATCCTGGAATGGGGGCTCGGAGGCTTGGTTTTTGTCTTGAGTGGGCCCTGGCACAGTCACACACATGCTGGTGGGAGCAAAGTGCCACCAGCTGTTGGATCTGGCCCTTGACTTAGGAGCCAGGGGTTGTCCCACAGGAGGATGGGATGAAGGGTCTTCCCATCAAAGGGAATACAGAACACATGGAGAGGTCCAAGGGGTTCAAAGCAGGATGTGGTCCAGGAATGAGGAGTCTCTGAGTCTGCAGTGTGAACTATGGCAGGAGGAGGTGACAAGTGTGAAAAAGCAGGCTGGCTTTGGGGGTTCTGAGGGTGCTGTATGTCTAAGGAGTTGGACTGTGGGCATTCGGGACCATTGGTGACTTTGGAAGCACAGAGGTACTGACCAGAAAGATAGTTCTTATTTTGTAAGATTTTATTTATTTATTTGTCAGAGAGAGAGAGCACAAGTAGGGGGAGCAGTAGGGAGAGGGAGAAGCAGGCTCCCCGCTGAGCAAGGAGCCCAATGTGGGGCTTGATCCCAGGACCCTAGGATCATGACCTAAGCTGAAGGCAGATGCTTAACCGACTTTGCCACCCAGGCGTCCCATGACCAGAAAGATAGTTCTAAGGTTATGTGAGCAGGGTTCAGCTTCATGGCTGTTGAGCACTCTGGGGTGGGGGGGGCACATATTTACTGGGAAGGTGGAGAAAAGGATTTGCCAAGAGATGTAGGTAGAGAGGGAATTGACGTGTTGTAGAAACGACAACCTGGGGTTTGAAGGAGCAGTCCAAGATGGCTCTGACATTTTCAGTTTGGGGTCCTGGTAGAATGGGGGGGTTCAACAGGGGAGGTTGGTGGGGAGAGGGTGGAGTAAGCTGAGGGGGTGGTGGGTGAATAGATAGGGGAAGTGTATGGGAGGAGGTAGAGGGGAGAGAGAGGGAGAGAGAGATGGGGGTAGATAGGAAGGGAAGTATGGGGGGGAGAGATGGGGGATAGATAGCAGGGGAAGAATGGGGGGAGGCAGAGGGAGAGAGAAAGTGAGATGGGATAGATAGGGGAAGTGTGGGGGGGTAGAGGAGGAGAGAATGAGATAGAGAGGAGATTTTGTTGATAATGTTTGGATTTTGATGGATGTAGGTAGAGGTTGGAAAGAGGACAGAGGGCCACAGAGAAGCCAAGGGAGTAGAAGGTAGAAACCAGCAGGAGTGAGATTCCTAGAAGATCCCTGGAAGGGGCCTGGGTTTGCATGATCTGTTAAGCTGGGAGTAGACTAGAAAGGAGCCATAACCTTGGGTCAGTCACTTTTGCTCCTGGCAACAGAGACTTTCTCTGGCTGGATTAGCTTAACTATTAGGGTTTTATCTTACCAGTGACTAACTTGTGAGAAGAACAGAGATGAAAATGATTGATAACACTCAGTGATGATGAGATTGGAGGGGAAACTGGCCTCTTAAACCTGTAGATGGGAGTGTAAACAGAAACAACTTTTTATAGGGAAAAGATATCTAGGACATAACAATTAGTGAAAAAAAAATTTCAAGACCCATTGTATAGTATGATATAAATTCAGGGCAGCAAACACATACACATATATATATGCACGTATAACCTGGTAGATCACATACTATCAAGTTAGCAGGTGGTTGTCTCTGGAATTCAGCTGCCCCTTTTTGTATTTCTGAAATGATTTCTTTCTTTTTCTTTTTTTTTAAAGATTTTATTTATTCATTTATTTGAGTGAGTGAGAGAGAGAGCACATGAGAGGCAGGAAGGTCAGAGGGAGAAGCAGACTCCCCCCCGAGCAGGGAGCCCGATGCGGGACTCGATCCCGGGACTCCAGGATCATGACCTGAGCCGAAGGCAGTCGCCCAACCAACTGAGCCACCCAGGAGCCCCTGAAATGATTTCTTTAAAATTTAAAAGCTCTTTTTATTATGGGAAATTTCAAACATATATAAAAGAGATAAAAGTCTAGTGCATTTTCATGTACTCATGATCTAATGACACTGGTAAACATTTTGGAAACTTGTTTCATCTATTCTCATCCTCAAGTATTCTGAAGCAAATTCTAACATTACATCCTTTTACTCTGAAATGGTTCTGTGTGGTTCTCTAACAGATGAGGATTCATTAACAACCCAGAGGAATGTGCCAGCTCAAGCCTGTGCCTCTCTCCCCAGATAGCAAAGCCATCGTGGATGGGAACCTGAAGCTCATCTTGGGCCTGGTGTGGACACTGATCCTCCACTACTCCATCTCCATGCCCGTGTGGGAGGATGAAGGGGATGATGATGCCAAGAAGCAGACGCCAAAGCAGAGGCTGCTGGGATGGATTCAGAACAAGATCCCTTACTTGCCCATCACCAACTTTAACCAGAACTGGCAAGATGGCAAGGCTCTGGGGGCCTTGGTAGACAGCTGTGCTCCAGGTAAGTGTCCATGGCTGCCTAAGCCATCTCTTCGGATGGGGGTTTGTGGACCCCAAGCCTCTTGGCTTTCCAATGGACAAGCTGGGTTTGCTGGGATTGGTGTATTCTCCTGGTTTTAGCCCACTGTAAGAGCAAAGGGAACTAAAAATGGTTCTGTTTACCTTCTAGGTGTATCCATTGACTTTTTGAACATTGAACTCAGTTATTTACGCAAATTCCCGGTGAAGCCCGTAGTTCTTGGAGCAGGCCCTGGTTTAGCTTTCAGACTCCAAAGTCTTGCTTCTTCCCACAGTTGGTGCCTGGTTTCCCATTGACTTCAGCAGAAACACATGGCCCTGTTAGTTGACTTGGCATGAAAATTGAAAAACTTCCATTGAGTGGAAAGTACCCATTTTTATCGACCGCTGGGTTGACTATATATGGCTTTCTCCACCCTTTTCTTTCTGCATTGCTATGAAATAGTGTTTGGTCAGGATCCAGTTGGAGGTTTTTCTACCCTTTTCTGAGTGGTTGAGTGTATACCAAGGTAGTAATTATCCTCACTGGAGGGTTTAGATTGATGAGTAGAGCTTGCTGGTACATACTCAGTAGAAAAACCAGAGTCCATGTTTATATGCACCCCCAAAATTGTTTCTAATAAAAAATTTACTCTAATAATCATATTTTCCATTTACGAATACTCACATTCGTTTTTAGTAAGCAAATGGTTCTCACCATGCTGCAAACAGAGCTGGCTAGTCTGTATTGAATAAGAAGGGAGGACTGACTCCAGGCTTCATTCTTCCTTGAGAGCCTATCAGCTAGTGTTATCCAGAACTAACTCAGAGCTCAGCATTAGTTAATTTCCCGGCACCTTCTTCCTTGCTTCCACCTACAGACACATTTTAAGATACCTCTTTACCAGTTTGAACCTGTGGATGTTTACTTCAGTCCTATACTTCTTGTGCTTACAAAGGTTTTTAAGATGATTCTAGGTTTGGGCTTTTGGGCATGTGGATTTTTCAATTATACAGATGCTAGCATAGTCTTTTTAGGTGTATCTAGGAACTGGATTGTGATATTGTGACTTAGAGTAAGAAGTACATATTTGGTCTTTGTCCCTTTCCTGGCACAGAGCTCTAAAAACCTTTGGAATTTCTTAAGTGGTAAGAGCCATGATAATGGTTCCTTTCAACCGCACCTGAGTTTATGTTAATGAGGTAACTTTTGGACAGCCCCTAAGCATGGGGGTAGGGCCAGGAGAACCAACCATGTGATTAGAGGGTTGGAACTTTTAGCCCTATCTCCTGACCTCCAGGGAAAGGACAGGGGCTGGAGGTTGAGTTAATCACTAATGGCCAGTGATTTAATCAAATCGTGCCTACTTCACATAATGAAACCTCCATAAAATTTCTCGAACTACAAATTTTGGGGAGCTTTCAGGTCAGTAAGCACATGGAGGTGCGAGGAGGATGGCACACCCCAAGGGGATGGATGCTCCATACCCCTTCTCCCATACCTTGCCATGTGCATCTCTTTCATCTGGTTGTTCTTGAGTTGTATCCTTTTATAATAAATTGGTAATCTAGCAATTAAACTGTTTTCCTGAGTTCGGTGAGCCACTCTAGTATATGAATTGAAGAAGAGTTGTGGGAACCTCCAATTTATAGCTGGTCTGTTAGAAGCCCAGGTGACAACCTGGACTTGCAGGTGACATCCAAAGTGGAGGAAGGGGGCATTCTTATGGGACTGAGCCCTTCACCTATGGGGTCTGACACTAACCTCCACATAGTTAATGTCAGATTTGAGTTAAATTGTAGGATATCCAGCTGGCGTGAATCCTACACATTTGGTGACCAGAGGACAGAAGTATGAAGGTGGTAGGAGGAAAAAAAAAAAAAAATCTGCAAAAAGGCACCAGGCCCAAGGAGTTTTACAGACTTTATTTATTTATACCACACCTTCAAGGAATGGATAATCTCTGTGTTAATGCGAGAAAATAACAGCCTGAAGGAGAAGTCTCAGCTTAGTCTCAGAATAGTTTCCATGCTGGCATACTCAGATCTGTTATACTTGTTGCCCTTAAGGTATATAATTGACTGTGATTTTTGGAAGAAATTGCTCTCTGAATTAAGATACCCAGGGGGTTTAATTTAAGCACGAGGCTTCCTTTAGTCTCTTCAGTCAGCTAATACTAACAGAATCTTTTGTGTTATGTTAACAGGTCTGTGCCCAGACTGGGAATCGTGGGATCCACGAAAGCCTGTGGATAACGCACGGGAAGCTATGCAGCAAGCAGATGACTGGCTGGGGGTCCCACAGGTACATACACGAGCAGCGCCATGTTCCGTGAGGCTATTTCCATCCTCCAGCTTGTTCTGGCCCTCTGTGGATGCCTCTTTGTGTCTACCAGGTGGTCTGACCTCCTCAGCATGAGCCTTCAAAGAGTATTGCCTCTGGCATGCTCCCATCTTCCTCAGTTTACCCATAATAATAGGTTCTCGTGGACTTGGGTGCTTATAGATCATTCAAAAATCTTACACTGCTCTTTGTCACATGTGGCAAATTTTGTAGTATTTTTGCTCCAAAGATCTTAAAAGACTGTCTTGGGACACCAGACTGCAAATGTAGACTTTAATGATTGGGTTGCACTGTAAGAAATAGCCAATATTTGACCACTTTTTACATATTTAAAAAGTCTTTTTAAAATCCAATATCTTAGGGGAAGTCACAGGACTTAGAACTTTTTAAAAAATTTATACCAGGATAACCAACCATTATTGGAAATTGTGGAAGAATTTGTATTGCTCATAATCCTATCACAGGAATATAACAGGAGAACTTGGAAATTGGGTAACTCTTGGATACCATCTGCAGTAGCCACATTGCGTAGTTGAGGTCCTGTCTTCTAAGGTTTTCCAAGGAAGCTGAAAAACTGCCCCAGACTCCCATGTTTGAAGAGCAGTTGTAGGTAGCCAATGCCATGGATGGATGACCTCACCACAGGTTACATTATGGTCTAAGCTGGTGTTCAGAGCTGAGTTCTGTGTATTTTATAATAGGATCTCTTGGGAGGTAGAAAAACTTGCCTGTATTTCTTTGGTTTGGTTTTGACATCATTATCTCTGCCTCATGGCCCATTTCTTAGCTCTTCCCCCCTTAGTAAGTGGTTTGGTATGTTTTTCATCTCCTCTTATAAACCTAAAACCATCTCCTTTTTGATGTTCATTTGATGTTGGCACTGTATAGTTGTTGAAGGAGCTGCCTGGAAGAAATGTCAAATCAACGCACCTCCTACATTTTATGGAATGGGTGAAGGCAACTGTTCAAACCCAAGTAACTGTTTTGTTGCTGAACGCTAATTATCAGAATGTTTTCTGGTGTTTTTTTGTTTGTTTTGTTTTGTTTTACTGTGGGGTGAGGGAAGCTGGGTATATATGTTGTTCATCTGTATTTGGTTAACCTGGTTCATGAGACAGAGCCTTCTGCTGGGTCTGAGGAGTAGCGCCTTAGCTTCTCAGAACCCTTGTTGGGGGCAGAGGGATTTTTTGTACTGTTTAGGGCTGGGTCAAGTAGTGGACATGAGGCTGTGATGCCTTCGTTGGGGGATCCGGGGTGGGGGGGATGCCTACCTGTCCGGCATGGGCATAATCTTGCTCCTAAGCTGCATGTCAGGAGAAGTTCCTTTCCTCCCTATTTCTTTGAACAGCTCATAATGTCTTGAAACCCATTTTAGTCAGCTCAGGCTGCTGTATGACAAAATACCATAGACTGGGTGGTGTAAACAACAGAGGTTTATTTCTCAAGTCTGGAAGCTGGACGTCCAAGAGCAAGGTGCAAGCAGATTCAGTGCTTGGTGAGAAGGACCCTCTTGGTGACTTGCAGACAGCTGGCTTCTTTCTGTGTCCTCACATGGCAAAGACAGAGAGGTCCGGTCTTTCCTACCCTTCTTATGAGGGCACCAATCCCATCATGGGGGCTCCATCCTCATGACCTCATCTCAACCTGCTTACCTCCCAAAGGGCACACCTGCTAAAACCATCACACTGACGGTTATGGCTTCAGCATATGAAGTTCGGGAGGATACAAACATCCAGTCTGGAACAAGACCACATGTCTAATACATCGCTGTGTGTTGGCACTTTGTATTTATTACTATTTTTTATTAGTAACAGAATTACTAGAGATGTAGGCAATGAGTAGATGAACAAAGCAAAAGGACAGTTATATACTTTTTGGTAATATGCTCCAATCCCTTGTGTACTTGTTTCTTCTCACTTGATGTAGCTTACCCCTCCTGGAAAGTTTCTCTGGGGGATGAGTGAGCTTTCTTTTGGGGACGGGTGTGCACCTCTGGAAATTACATATAGAATTGTCTTGAGGGGGTCCTCAGCTTCCAAAAGGAAGACTGACACCTCTAAAAGGTTAAAAACACTGACGTTGGCATGTCATTTTAATGTAATTTCACTTAATTTAGAGCTTGATTCAATTTCTTATATTTGTAGTGCTTGGCTTAAGAGACATTTGCAAATCTTTGACAGTTACAAGTGATGTGTTCTGGGCGTTCACCTACCAGGCTTTATTCTAGGTCATCACTCCTGAAGAAATTATTCATCCAGATGTGGACGAGCACTCGGTGATGACTTACCTGTCCCAGTTCCCCAAAGCCAAGCTCAAGCCCGGGGCTCCTCTAAAACCCAAACTCAACCCGAAGAAAGCCAGGGCCTATGGCCGAGGTAAGCACTGGTCTTGCTGGTTTGAGGCTTGTCCTCTGGTCTTAGACATGGTTATGTGGCTTCAGGAGGAAGATGTGTAGCATCAAGAACGCATAGGGTTGACCCTTTAGACACCCCAGGCCTCCTTTATCAGCTGTTTTTTACCTCATGGTCCATTTGTTTGTGACCAGCGTTGCTGCTTCATGAATCTAGGCACTGCTGCTTTAACCTGATGGAGAACGAGGGGTTTGTAGCGCTGTGATTTTAGTGCAGTAATCCTGGGACGAAGAGAGGACTATTTGCATTTTTCAGATGAGGCTTCAGAGGCCCGATCCACTGAGGTGGGGGTGCCCACCCCAGATCACCACCATCAGCAGATGGGGGTGGAGCAGGAGTTGGGTCATCTGGCTGCTGATTCATTTCTCCTTTGGTCATGCTCCTTCTGCTTCAGATTTCTAGGTTGGGGGGGAGCGATTGTGACCCCCAGACACTTCCTTGCCGAGACATCCTATTTATGATCACCAAGGCAGCTGCAGGGCAGTGTTCTGCTCAGAACATTATGGTGGGTTGAAGGCATTTTGTGAGGCATTTGGTGTTCTGGTTGGCACCTGACTTCAAGCACACCAGCTTTTTAAGAACACTGCATTTCAGCCTGGTGTGGTTTCTGGTAAAGATTAGCACAGTGAGGTACAATTTGTTCCCTTTTTTATGGAGAAGGGAAGGAATGGATTATATTTCTTAATTTTTATAACTACCATTGGGATAGCATTTAGACACACAAATTATCTTGTATATCCTCTGCTAGAATCTAACCATTCTAACATAATAGTTTTCTCTAGCCCTTCCTCTGTGTGTGTGTGTGTGTGTGTGTGTGTGTGTGTGTGTGTGTGTGTGTGTGAGATTGTTGAATTCTTTGAAAATCAATTGCAGGCATCGTGACAGTTCACTCAATATATCAGCAAGCCTCTCCTAAAAATAGGGCATCCTCTTGCATAACCACCGTATTCATGATCACACATAAGAAAATTAACAGTATCATATCAGCTAATATCCAGTTTATATGAACATGTCCCTATTGTCCTAAAATCATCTTTTATAGTTTTTGTTGTTTTATAAACCAAGATCTGATTAGAATTCACTTACTACAGGGGCGCCTGGGTGACTCCGTCAGTTAAGCGCCCAACTCTTGGTTTCGGCTCAAGTCATGATCTCGTGGTTGTGGGATCAAGCCCAGAGTTGCGTTGTGCTCAGTGCGGAGTCTGCTTCAGATTCTCTCTCCGTCTCATTCTCTGTCTCTCAAATAAAATCTTAAAAAAAAAAAAAAAAATTCACATATTATATTTCTTGTTTCTTTAGACTCTTTTAATCTAGAATAATTTCCCTGAAAAAAATCTTTTCCCTAAAGATTTGTTTATTTATATTTAGGGAGGTGGGGAGGGGCAGAGGGAGAGAGGAAGCGAGAGTCTTTTTTGTTTTTAAAGATTTTATTTATT